AAAACAACTTTCTTTTCTAGACCTTTAAAGATGTAAGGCTGGTTTTCAAAGTGGAAGCAACAAATGATCAGCGCTCTCCAGATGGTAGAACATATTTATGACTTTTGGGATATTCCTTGATAAATTCAATAGGATATGGGGTAAATGGATTGAGACCCCTTGGGCTGCCATTTCTAGATTTATGAAAACACCCTTGCAAAGCGAACATGCTCTACAGCCCTGGTGCCCAACCTGTGGCCCGAGGGCCCCATGCAGCTCTTTGGTGTGGAGCTCTCAGACCTCAGCAGTCTGTAGTGGGAACTTTGATGATCTCTATTAGCTTCCTGTAGCAAGTCCCCGGTTTCCTACTGTCTTCAGCAGCATATCTCCAGTCAACGATGTATCCTGTCCACACTCTGACCATCATTTCCTCTATTAGGTCTGCAGAGCGACAGTCCTCTTAAGCATTACATTATATGGGGCCCTTTGGCACCATCAGGGGTCGCAGTTGGGGTCCCCTACAGCTTATAAATTAACAACCACTGCTCTATAGCAGGGGACTGCAAGCTTTCTAAACAAAGGGCTAGTTTGCTATCCTTCAAACTTTAGGGGACCGACTGTGGCCAGTGGAAGAAAAGGTCCCGTTGTCAGTGAGAAAAAAACAATGCCCCATCTTTGGTATCAGTGGGAGAAATTTAGCCCCATCAATTGATGTCATTGGGCCCCATTGTTGGTGTCAAGTGGAGGAATTTTGCCCCATCATTGATGTCATTGGGCCCCATTGTTCGTGTCATTGGGATGAACTGTGCCCCGTCATTGGTTTCACTGGGAGGAATTTTGCCCCATCATTGATGTCATTTGGCCCCTTTGTTGGCGTCACTGGGACGAACTGTGCCCCATCATTGGTGTCACTGGTATGAATTTTGCCCCTTCATTGGCATCAGTGAAATAGTGCCACAAGGGCTGCATAAAAGCAAGCAAAGGGCAGCAGTTTGGAGACCACTGCTCTACAGCACTGATTCCAATTCCAGTCCAATGGGAAGATGATGGCAGATGGCCAGAACCCTCTTCTTTATGGACCTTTACTAGTAGCCGAGAGGTACTGGTGACTGGGTTGTGAGATGAGCCGGGCCATTTCTATTTCCAAAGCATTTGCAGGCACAGGGTATCTGCAGGATATCTTATGACTGATCTGCTCTCTGCTACACTGACTGACAGCTATAGGTATGCACAGGGCTGCTGATAGAAACCACAAGGCCCCATACAGCCAACTTGGCAGGGCCCCATACAGCCAACTTGGCAGGGCCCCATACAGCCAACCTGACAGGGCCGGCCGCCCACCCCCCCCCCCCCCCAAAAAAAAAAACAGTTTACTATGCTTCACTTGTGAATGAACACAGTGAGTGATCAGTACCAATGAAAGAAAGGAAAGGAAGAGGATGGTAAATGGAACATATTTACAGGATCCATCCCCTGTGCAGTCTCCATCCTGAAGATCCTATTGTGTACTGGCAGCTACCTGTGGGAAAGAGGGGAGGGAAGCCAGCAGCACTGTAGGGGTGGGGGCACACAGGGGGGGTTTGGGCAGCAGGGGAAAATATACGGTGCATAGGGAGGGTGATGGGTGTGGTGGGGGCCAATTACTGGAATTGATCCCCTGTATGGCTCTTTGCAGCAGCTGAAAGCCAGCAAGAGGGAGAGAAAAAGAAGCCAGCTTTCAGCTGCTGCAGAGAGCCATAAAGGGGATCGGTTCCAGTAATTACCCCCCCCCCCCCCCGCTGTACCGATCACCCTCCCTGCCCACATCCGAATCACCCAGCTGCCTGGGCCCCCCTGCTGTCCTGGGCCCTGTACAGGAGGACTGGTGGTACCCCCTTATCCACGGCCCTGGGACCGCGTGACTGTGAGATCCACTTTATTCTCTCTGTACATCCTTCTTCTCTCTTTACGAAATGTAAACTGAGGAAGTGGAAAATGAAAATTGATTAAAAAAAAAAAAGATTTCCGTTCGCGTATTAATAAAATTTCAGTTTCTATATTAAACCGAACGTCATTTGCTTAAGCAACCGGTATTGGAAAGCCGACATATGGCTGGAGTCACCATGGGTGAGCAACTCAAGGAATGTTCAATGAGCCTTCACTTCAATTAATTATTAATGATAAAACCGACTTGGCCTGTTACTCATTAGATTCTCCTCATCTCTTTAAAGTTGCATGACGCTAATTCTTATTTTTGGGGTTTCCATTACTTTGAATGTCGGGATGATCCCATCCTGATCACATCATTTAGGCAGCTCACTTGGTTTTAGAAAAAAACAAAAATTTGCCTACTGACCGGAGCCACCGGGTTTGCCTCTCATGAATGATTTGTTCGATGTGTTTGAGTATTAGCCGCACTTTTGTTATAATCATTCCTAAATCTACACTCTGGGACACTCTGGGCACAAAAGCTTCTATTTAAATATATTCCTCAATAGTCACAGAGGATATAAATCCAGTGACTCCGGGGACAAACAGCTCCGCAAGAAAAAACAGCTACACCAACCAAAGAAAAAAATGTCCGCACGGGTGACGAAACACATTGCAGCTACTGGCATTTCCCTTTGAGGCACATTCTTTGGGATCTGCGCTTTGGAATACCTTTCTGCATAGGCTGAGTGGACAGTCTGAACACGGCATTTACTTTGGACGGGGTGAAAAAAATAACCGACTGACTGACTATATGGCTACACAGGGAGAGGAAAACAAAACCTAGATACAAATGGAGAAACAGAAAAAGGGCGCACCGACCTACTGCATTATCGTGTAAAATAATTTATTGAACAAAAGAGGTATCATACTCACAATAGACATATAAAAACACAGGCATGTCAAACTGAACAAGATGTATGATCCAAACAACATCTGAGTCCATACGATGGAACCCCGGATGACCAACTGTCTAACGCGTTTCGAGGACGCAACCTCTTCCTCAGAGGAAGAGGCTGGCTCTGAGGAAGAGGTTGTGTCCTCGAAACGCGTTAGACCAGTTGGTCATCCAAGGTTCCATCGTATGGATCATACATCTTGTTCAGTTTGACATGCCTGTGTTAATATGTCCATTGTGAGTATGATACCTATTTTGTTCCTTCAATAAATTATTTTAAACGATAATGCACTAGGTCGGTGCGCCCTTTTTCTGTTTCTCCATTTGTATCCAGTGTATTTGGACCACCCCCGTCTGTTGAGGGCAGCGAGCAGTGCATATTCCAGAAAATTCCAGAACATTCCTATTGGGTCTACTGGATTTTCACTACAGTGGGCGCTCGCTATACAATCTATATCTATTCCTATTGGGTCTACTGAGTCCTTTCCTAGCGCAGGAGTAAAGTGTTTGTTGTGATAGAAAACAAAACCTAACCTCCCATCCCGGATCATTCCCCAAGTAAAACCACCCACAGAGGTGGGAAAAGGGGCATATCCACCGAGAGGTACCAGCAGAGCTAGCAGGGGCACTTACAGTAGCACTGTCAGGTGGCGCACCTTATGATCGATTGAGCACCGGCACTTCAACTGGGACATTATGTATTAAGTTTTACAGGACTGGTTTCATTTGAGCACTAGCACTTTCAACATTTGGACACTATCTATTTATTTTCACAGGACTGATTTCATACGCAAACACCGCATGCGCAGTTTAGCGGCGGTTGCAAAGCATTAAAAAACGCCCCACAAACGGCTAGAATGAAGTTTGAATGGCGTTAACGCTACGCAAACGCCCCGCAACCGCGTTGCAACTGCACCGCAAGCGCCGGCTGGGCGTTTGCGGAGCGGCACCATAGACTTGAATAGGAGGCTTCAACTCCTCCTGACTCGACCAGAGGTGTCCGTTTTTCCGTGACGCGATGCTAATGCTCCTGTGTGAACAGCACCATGTGCTGCAATGTGTAGAATTTTCACAGGCGTTTGGAAAGCGGTAAAAACGCTTCCCAAACGCCTGTCTGCCGCTTTCAAACAAGGCTAGGGTGAATGTAGCCTTGAGGTTTGGAGCCCTACAATTGTCCGGATTACAGCTAGTTTTTGGAATTATCCAACGGGTGTTCATCCATCTATCATTGGGGGGGGCCAGTTCGATCCCTTTGACGTCATAAAGTGTCCAGGTCCATGGCATGCGTCTGGAATTTGCATTGCGCATTTTGACCAGTCCTTAACTGGGGGTCAATTTGGTCAGGTAAGAGGCAACATATTTTGGGTGTTGGTGATGGTGGATGTTCTTCATCTTCTTGACCAGATTTGAAGCATTCATGACAACATTGATGTCCCAAGTAAAGAGGGGCTTATTTCACGTTCTATCTCCTTTTCATTTATTCCATGTATTTCCATTAACGTTTTGGTTACATGTAGAGCTGCACTTTTATGTTTTATTATTTGGAATGCTAATTGGAGCAGAACTCGGTGTTTCAAGTCAAGCTACTTTGGGGGGAATATAGGCAGTTATGAAGATTTCTATTAAAATGAGAAACACTCAACCAGTCGGGGTTTCAGCTGCTTCTGATGTCAAGCAAATGTAATGCAAATACAACGGACTACATACAACACGGACTAGATAAAATTTGGATAGATTTGTATTTGTGTCTCGTAGATGAAGCAAAACATCTACGGCAAAGATACTCTGCAAATGTAACCAAGGCAAAAAGCCAACAGGTCGTGTCAACGTCGTGTGACCCATAAACATATCACCCTGGTAAATAGGCTCCGTACTCTCACCAGTAACCTTGGAAAAATCTTTGATAATTTTAAATATCTCTTAACCACTTCCCGTCTGGCCCATTGTCGATAAACGGCCGGAAGGGAGTGCTGCTGATGCGGGTGGACGTTCCTAAAAGTCCCCCGCATCCATTGCCTGTGTGCGCTCCATGGGAGCACGCTGCACCGCAAATCGGTGCCTGCCGTGTCCTTTGGCTGTGTCCTCCTGCGTGTGGTCATGATTCATGTGATCGCTGATTGGCCAATCAGTGATCAGATGAACAGTAGTACAGAAGATGTCACTTCCTGACATCATTGCTTAGTACTTGTGAAATCTGTGAATGCTCAGAGCGGTCACATGGTACAGGGCTATTCACAACAGCCTTGTACCATGTGACAAGCTGTGACCAACCACAGCTCGAACAGTATTTCTCAATGGCTGAAGAAGAAATGGTTGTGAAATCTGTGAATGATCACAGAGATCACATGGTACAGGGCTATTCACAACAGCCTTGTACCATGTGACAAGCTGTGACCAATTACAGCTCTCACAGTATTTCTCAATGGCTGAAGTAGAAGAAATGGTTGTGAAATCTGTGAATGATCACAGAGATCACATGGTACAGGGCTATTCACAACAGCCTTGTACCATGTGACAAGCTGTGACCAATCACAGCTCTCACAGTATTTCTCAATGGCTGAAGAAGAAGAAATGGTTGCGAAATCTGTGAATGATCACAGAGATCACATGGTACAGGGCTATTCACAACAGCCGTGTACCATGTGACCAGCTGTGATCAATCACAGCTCTCACAGTATTTCTCAATGGCTGCAGGAATGCAGCCAGAGAGGAGAAATGATTGATTTTACAGCCTTTATGGGTGTAAAAGCAAATCAGTGTAAAAAAAGAAAAAAAAATCTTCATCACCCCCCACAAGTAGTACAGTGTCACTATGGTGACCCTGTACTGCTAGGGTGACAGTATGTTAAAAAAAAAAAAAAAAAAAGCCATAAATAATATAAAAAAAAAATAAAATGTAAAAATGTTTTTTGAAAAATTATAATTTTTGGTTATAAACTAATTTGGGTTATTTTTTTTTTATTAAAAAGATAGACGAATACATTTGGGCCAAGATTTATGAAGAAAGATTATTTATTTGCAAAATTTTATAAGAAAAACACTTTTTTTTTTCAAAATGTTTGGACTTTTTCATTTACCGGTATATAGAAAAAAAAACAAAATAAAGTTTGATCTGTCTCCAAAAAATGCTAAAAAATACATATGGGTCCATTGTTGCATGACCGCGCAATTGTCATTTAAAGTGTGATAGCGCTGAAAGCTGAAAAGTGGCCTGGACTGGAAGGGGGGTGAAAGCGTCCGGACTGGAAGGTGGGTGAAAGCGTCCGGACTGGAAGGGGGGTGAAAGCGTCCGGACTGGAAGGGGGGTGAAAGCGTCCGGACTGGAAGGGGGGTGAAAGCGTCCGGACTGGAAGGGGGGTGAAAGCGTCCGGACTGGAAGGGGGGTGAAAGCGTCCGGACTGGAAGGGGGGTGAAAGCGTCCGGACTGGAAGGGGGGTGAAAGCGTCCGGACTGGAAGGGGGGTGAAAGCGTCCGGACTGGAAGGGGGGTGAAAGCGTCCGGACTGGAAGGGGGGTGAAAGCGTCCGGACTGGAAGGGGGGTGAAAGCGTCCGGACTGGAAGGGGGGTGAAAGCGTCCGGACTGGAAGGGGGGTGAAAGCGTCCGGACTGGAAGGGGGGTGAAAGCGTCCGGACTGGAAGGGGGGTGAAAGCGTCCGGACTGGAAGGGGGGTGAAAGCGTCCGGACTGGAAGGGGGGTGAAAGCGTCCGGACTGGAAGGGGGGTGAAAGCGTCCGGACTGGAAGGGGGGTGAAAGCGTCCGGACTGGAAGGGGGGTGAAAGCGTCCGGACTGGAAGGGGGGTGAAAGCGTCCGGACTGGAAGGGGGGTGAAAGCGTCCGGACTGGAAGGGGGGTGAAAGCGTCCGGACTGGAAGGGGGGTGAAAGCGTCCGGACTGGAAGGGGGGTGAAAGCGTCCGGACTGGAAGGGGGGTGAAAGCGTCCGGACTGGAAGGGGGGTGAAAGCGTCCGGACTGGAAGGGGGGTGAAAGCGTCCGGACTGGAAGGGGGGTGAAAGCGTCCGGACTGGAAGGGGGGTGAAAGCGTCCGGACTGGAAGGGGGGTGAAAGCGTCCGGACTGGAAGGGGGGTGAAAGCGTCCGGACTGGAAGGGGGGTGAAAGCGTCCGGACTGGAAGGGGGGTGAAAGCGTCCGGACTGGAAGGGGGGTGAAAGCGTCCGGACTGGAAGGGGGGTGAAAGCGTCCGGACTGGAAGGGGGGTGAAAGCGTCCGGACTGGAAGGGGGGGTGAAAGCGTCCGGACTGGAAGGGGGGTGAAAGCGTCCGGACTGGAAGGGGGGTGAAAGCGTCCGGACTGGAAGGGGGGTGAAAGCGTCCGGACTGGAAGGGGGGTGAAAGCGTCCGGACTGGAAGGGGGGTGAAAGCGTCCGGACTGGAAGGGGGGTGAAAGCGTCCGGACTGGAAGGGGGGTGAAAGCGTCCGGACTGGAAGGGGGGTGAAAGCGTCCGGACTGGAAGGGGGGGTGAAAGCGTCCGGACTGGAAGGGGGGTGAAAGCGTCCGGACTGGAAGGGGGGTGAAAGCGTCCGGACTGGAAGGGGGTGAAAGCGTCCGGACTGGAAGAGGGTGAAAGCGTCCGGACCGGAAGAGGGTGAAAGCGTCCGGACCGGAAGGGGGTGTGAAAGCGTCCGGACTGGAAGGGGGTGAAAGCGTCCGGACTGGAAGGGGGTGAAAGTGTCCGGACTGGAAGGGGGGGAAAGTGTCCGGACTTGAAGTGGTTAAACTGAGTTTGTCCTCTTTGACCTTCCCAGATGCAGAAGCAGATACCTTCTTTCAGAATACCGATCTCCAATATCCTTCATCCCTCTCGTGACCAGAAGAGACTGAAGTGGAGATGCCGAGACCACATTTAGCAGATCTGTCTGCATCATTTAACTTGGCAATAGGTGCTCCTTCACAGTTGTAGTCTTCTGCACTTACGGAGCGCCCCCAAACAATGTACTGCAGACGGGCAGCCCATACAGGCACCGCGATGTACGTCTTCCGGGTAGAGGCCACGTTCTCAGTTTCTGATGTTTTCTCAGAACCAGGAGCCGTTTTCTGCAGTTCCCTCTTTGTGCTGGAAGAGCGCTCCTGGGACATGAACATTGCCCGCCCAGCAACATGCCACGTGTGGGCGTTAAAGCCAGTTATGGGTTACTGGGGCATAAAGGAGTTTATAAACCTGAATTTATAACAGTTTACGAGGCGGCATCAAAAGGTTTGGAGACTAATTTTGTAACACGCCAACAGATGTCAGCACAGGGCTGCACACGCACAGTCACAGGGAGCACTGACCTTCGTAAGTCAGTGTGCCAAAAGACACAGTCCTACGTACGTCGGGAGCTGTGCAGCTGGTGCTATTCTGACCACGTGCATTACCACGTCTGCTATTTCATCATGGACAGCAAGTTAGAACAAAGAGCAAACGTGAAATTCTGAGTAAAACCCACAGGCCCAAATTTCAGCACCGGTAATTGTTCTCGATGTGAAGGACGGGTCATTCACAGCACGCTGATGGTGTTCTTGGCAGACTTCGAAGCGGTGTTCCTTCAGGGGTTGATCACAAGTTGCCAAATGGTTTTAACATTTTCGGGGGTTGAGCACAAGATGCCGAATGGTTTCAACATTTTTGGGGGTTGAGCACAAGTTGCCAAATGGTTTCAACATTTTCGGGGGTTGAGCACAAGATGCCAAATGGTTTCAACATTTTCGGGGGTTGAGCACAAGATGCCGAATGGTTTCAACATTTTTGGGGGTTGAGCACAAGTTGCCAAATGGTTTCAACATTTTCGGGGGTTGAGCACAAGTTGCCGAATGGTTTCAACATTTTCGGGGGTTGAGCACAAGTTGCCAAATGGTTTCAACATTTTCGGGGGTTGAGCACAAGTGGCCGAAAGGTTTCAACATTTTCGGAGATTGAGAACAAGTTGCCGAATGGTTTCAACATTTTTGGGGGTTGAGCACAAGTTGCCAAATGGTTTCTAAATTTTTGGGGGTTGAGCACAAGTTGCCAAATGGTTTCAACATTTTTGGGGATTAAGCACAAGAAGCTGAATGGTTTCAACATTTCGGGGGTTGAGCACAAGTTGCCGAAAGGTTTCAACATTTTTGGGGATTAAGCACAAGAAGCTGAATGGTTTCAACATTTTCGGGGGTTGAGCACAAGTTGCCGAAAGGTTTCAACATTTTTGGGGATTAAGCACAAGAAGCTGAATGGTTTCAACATTTTCGGGGGTTGAGCACAAGTTGCCGAAATGGTTTCAACATTTTCAGGGGTTGAGCACAAGTTGCCAAATGGTTTTCAACATTTTCGGGGGTTGAGCACAAGTTGCCGAATGGTTTCAACATTTTTGGGGATTAAGCACAAGAAGCTGAATGGTTTCAACATTTTCGGGGGTTGAGCACAAGTTGCCAAATGGTTTCAACATTTTCGGGGGTTGAGCACAAGTTGCCAAATGGTTTCAACATTTTCGGGGGTTGAGCACAAGATGCCAAATGGTTTCAACATTTTTGGGGGTTGAGCTCGTTGAAGGTTCCTGATCTCTCGTCGTCTTCCAGTGATGATCATCCACTCTTGAAGCCACTCAGAACACCTTGAAAGACTGATTGCAGCATCGCCATTGCAGTAAAACTTGCTGATTCATGTCAAACGTCCCTGTGACAGATTTGTCCAGTTTAACGCAGAATTTTTCAGATTTGCTCTTGGTTATAACTTGCTGTCCATGATGAAATAGCAGATGTGGTAACACACGTGGTCAGCACACAGGACAATATCTTCTGGCAGGGCCTAGTGCATTACCTTCTAAAAATTAGATTTATTGAATAAAAGTAGTATACTCAAAAAAGAATAAAATCAAAGGCACATCAAAAAAGACAGCATGGTCCAATCCCCCTAGATGGTGGCTTTTGGGGGACTGTAGGCCTCCAAAATGGCTGATGTGTTTGCTGGCTCTGAGAAAGAGGTTCTGCCTCGAAACGCGTCAACCATTTGGAGGCCTACAGTCCCCCAACAGCCACCATCTAGAGAGACTGGACCATTCTGTTTTTTTTGTGATGTGCCTTTGATTTTATTCTTTTGTCAGTATACTACTTTTATTCAATAAATCACATTTTTTTTTTTAGACGGTAATGCACTAGGCCCATGCGCCCTCCATTTCTTTGCACACAGCTCCTTTGGATTTTACCTGGTCCGTTGAGGGCAGCAAGGCTTGCATTCCCAAAAAAATACTCCATGTGGGGTTACTGACATTGTGGAGCTCATCATCTAGCGCAGGAGTTTCAGCATTCATGCTTTTTTTAAGGTCTTCTGAGCACACTGACTTATGATGGTCGGTGCTCCCTGTGATGTGTAGCCTTGTGTTGCCATCTGTTGGGGTGTTACGAAACTAGTTTAGAAACTTTTTGATGCCAACCTTGTAGGTCAGGTAAATATAAAATAATGCAAATTAATATTTTGTCATTTAAATTCCAGCCATAGGCTACTGGAAAAAAAAAAAAGGCTGTTTATAGAGCTCAATAGCTAAAGCTAAAATTTATAGGGAGCCTAAAAGCAAATCGCTACGGAAAACACAAAACAGTCAGCCAATCCTGTGTCGTGGGTACATACGGCATTTAATATTTTTTTTTGTAAAAGCAAAGATTATACATTCACAGTA